GTCAAAGAAGTTACTGCTTATGTTCTCTTCTAGGATTTTTATGGTTTCTCACATTTATGTCTTTAATCCATTTTTTAATTTATTTTGTTTTTGGTACAATTGTAAATGGGATTGATTCTTTAATTTATCCATTTCTTCTAGGTTGTCCAATTTGTTGACATAGAGTTTTTCATAATATTCTCTTATAATTGTATTTTTGTGTTGTTGGTTATTTCTCGGTTCTCATTTGTGATTTTATTCATTTGATTTATTTGGGTCCTGTCTCTTTTCTTTTTGACAATTCTGGCAAGAGGTTTGTCAATTTTATTAATTTTTTTTCAAAGAACCAGCTCCTTATTTCTATTGTTTTTTTAGTTTCTATATTTATTTCTGCTCTAATCTTTATTATTTCCTTCCTTCTATGGCTTTAGGCTTCATTCATTATTCTTTTTCTAGCTCCTTTAGCTGTAAGGTTAGGTGGTTGAACAACAACTTCATTCTAGCAAATATCAGTATTGAGAGTCTAAGAACAGCAGTGTGCAGATATGTGATGAGTGTAATAGCAGGACCAAGGAAGCTAGGATGTGTCCCTTGTGAGGCAGAGGGAGTGGGTGGTACAAATGCCTGTGTTCAGCCATTGGGGGTCATCATTTCTCCATGTGTGGGAGGGCTTTGCAGGTCTTCCCAGCCATGATCCTAATAGGATAGAATACACTACTGCTTGCAATAGAACAGATATCAAAATGAAGAAAGTCTCTGATTTCATTAATATAAAAATTATTTTAAATTTAGGTGCAGTATGAAGTAAAATATATAGTTTTGAATGTTCAAAAAAGTGTCGTTTTCCTTATATTTTAGTATAATAATTGCTAATATTTACTGAATAGTTAATATAATTAAATAGTATGCTATTATAGTATAATATACTCCAGTATAATATAGAGCTCTTAGGATATATATAGTATACTAATATGTAGTATAATATACTATACTAATATATCCTATATTATACTAGAATATACTAGTATATTATATTCTAGTATAATATAGAGCTCTTAGGATATTCCCTTTAAGAGTCAGGTGCTATTCCATGGGCTTTGTGTTTTAACTCTTCTCTTCTAATCCTCATACCAGCCCTCTGAGGTAGATGCTATTATTGTCTCCATTTTGCAGATGAAGCCACTAAGACAGAGAATCATAAAGTAACTTCCCCAAGATCAAACAACTAGTAAGTGTAGAACCAGGATTTGAACCTAGATGGGCTCCAGAATGTGATGGATCTAATGGGTCAAATAATTCAAATTTAGGGCCTGCATCCTGTGAGCTGTGGCCTTTGTGATGAGGATTGCTTGTCTGGTCACTGTTAAAATAGCCACTGGAGCAGAATTGTGGAGAGGTGGCATTGTGGTGTGATAGAACAACTCTGGGCTAGGAATGAAACATGCCAGTTTTCTGCATCTTCATTTTCTCACCTCCAAAATGGGTATTCTAATGTCAGCCTCTTATGTATGTTTGGGTTATGTTTTGCCATTTATAGAGTGCCTTCATGTGTTGTGTCATTCATCTGTCTTGCCTGCCTTGTAGCACTACTTCAGGGATCAAATGAGTAGTATACAGCAGAACTATTAGCAATTATTGTTGCTTTTCAAAGTATTTGCTTTTCTCCTCTCAGTATTATGTTTCTTCAAGAGTGTATTATAAAAAATAATTCAGATTTACTTGGATATTTAATGTATAGGTGCTATTCTATAACTCTATGCATGATCTCCTTCTGTCATTTTCACACATAGCTCTAGTACCCAAGTATTGTATCAAACAGAAGTTATATTCAGTTCTATTTTCTGCCCTACTGAACAGGAAATATAGTAGGCACGGATAATCCAAAATAATTGGCTGGCTTTTGATACTCATTTTTGTACTTAATTTAACTTGAGTATGTGTGGCTGAGAATTCAGAGTACAGATACAGATATTCCTTAACTTACGGGGTTGTGTCCCAATAAACCCATCGTAAGTTGAAAGTATCGTAAGTTGAAAATGCATTTTATACCTCTAACCTGCTGAACAGTATGGCTTAGCCTAACCTACCTTAAACATGGTCAAAACACTTACATTAGCTCACAGTTGGGCAGAGTCATTTAACACAAAGTCTATTTTATAATAAAATGTTAAATATCTCATGTAATTTATTAATTACTGTACAGAAAGTGAAAAACAATTGGGTACAGATTGATTATAAATGTGTTGGCTCTTTATCCTCATGATCTCGTAGCTGACTGGGAGCTGCAGCTTGCTGCCCTGCCCAGGATCACAAAAGAGTATCATACTGTATATCCTTAGCCTGGGAAAAGATTAAAAATTCAAAATTTGAAGTATGATTTTTACTGAATGTATATCGCTTTTGCACCAGGATAAGGTTGAAAAATTGTAAGTTGAACTATTATAAGTCTGGGACCATCTATACTTAAAAGTATTGCGTTTCTTTGGAAAACCCAGCTTGAGATAAATCATATTTTTCAAACTTTGGAGTCTTGTCCACCCCTCTTTATCCTTTCTAGTTTAGGAGTCCTGAAAAGAAGCTAGCACCTTCTTTCTACCCTCTCCTCCTTTCCCACGCACACCTTGTGGTAAAGGTACAAAGCAGAAGGCCAGGGAGAGAGAGAAAGGGATTTTTTTGTTTGTTTGTTTTAGGGGAGAGTAACTTTTTTTTTTTTTTAAAGAGAAAACTCTCAAGAGAGCAGGTCAGGGGGAAGGACAAAGGGAGAGGGAGAGGGAGAATCTTAAGTAGGCTCTGTAAGCACGGAGCCTGACAGGGGACTCAATCTCTTGACCTTGAGATCATGATCTGAACTGAAATCAAGAGTTGGATGCTTAACCAACTGAGCCACTTAAGCACACCTGTTTTTAGGAGAGTAACATTAAGATTACGGAAGGAACCCCAGAAATCTTCTTACTTGAGCAGTGGTCATATCAACTGATGTCAAAGAAGATGCCAACTGGTGTTAAAGTGTCTGGGCTTCTGAGGTTGAGACCTTTCTGAAGGGGGAATCTACAGTTGGGAAAACTGCTTACTTGAGCAGTGGTCACATCAACGGTGTCAAAGAAGATGCCAACTGGTGGTAAAGTGTCTGGGCTTCTGAGGTTGAGACCTTTCTGAAGGAGGAATCTACAGTTGGGGGAACTGCTAAGGTCAAAGCAACACAGTGAAAACTTATCTTAACGTTTTGGACTCTTATAGTGCCATTAGTATAAGCCTCTGTGGGCTCCATATTCTCTGTAACCCATGAGGTTGTGTTTATACTGGCCAGTCATGCAGGTTGTTATGTCTAGTTTTCCTCTATTTTAATGATGGCAGTGTGACTTTCTCTTGAATCCATTATTACAAGTGTGGTTTCCAGAACAAGGGAAGGTTCATGATATTGCTCTACTTTTGTGTTAGGCAGACCTCTCCTGGCATATTATGTTTGGTTCTGAACGCTTTATGCTGAGGGTTGGTGACAACCTCGAGTGTGTGAACTAAAGAAAGGGCCAGAATGGTAAGGGGCGGTAATCATTGGAATGGTGGTTAAAGAAACTGGAAAAGAGAAAACTTGGCAAGGACACGTTGGTTGTAATAGGAATATTCAAGTTTTTGAAAAGCTCTTCATCAAAGAGGAAGTAAAACAACTGTTACTAATAATTTTTTGAGGGTCTATTCTATTTAGATGTTGTACAAGCCTATCAACATAACATGGATTGCAAGGTGGGTTCTATTTTTATTTTACAGATGATGGAACTAAGGCTCCGAGAAGTATCTATGTAAGGTCATACAGTTATTTAGTGACTTCACAATTCAAACCAAGGTCTTTCTAATTCCAAAGCCTGTTAGCTGTCAGATTGTACTGACTCCCTGAATGGAGATTGTAGGCAGACAGATTTTAGGAGACAGATTGGAGAAGAAGCCCTCCCAGCTGATCTGCTCCTGGTGAGGGGGACTTAGGGCAGAAGTGAAAGATTGCTTATTGGGGCTGTTGTGAAGAGGATTCATACATGGTAAAGATAACTTTTAAATTACATTCTGTATGAATCTCTTCCACTGTAATCTTCTGAACACTGATCTTCTGAACTCCTGTTCTGGGTTCAGTCTAAGCCCTTTGACCTTTTGGTTCTCAGTGATTTGTGCTCGGTTCTCAGAACTTATTTCTGATCCTTCATGAATGGATCAGGATACTTGGATAATTTCTTTCCTTAAGCAAAATAAAGTTAGTCTAGAGACTATTTTAGTTTTTAAAATTGTGCTTTGCTAGTACCCTCAGCATCATGAGGGCTCCTTGGATTGGTGCTAAACCCAAATGTAGCTTGAGGCACATTGCGCATTGTGCTACAAGTCTGAGCCATTCTTTTACCAGTCTCTTGTATAGCCACTGATGTTAGTGCCTAGATGACTGTTCCTTGATGAAAATGCCTACAGGTCTTACAGCAGGGAAGGAGGACATAGTGCCTTGGCTTATCACATAATTTTAACAATCATATGATGATGGAATGTAAAGGGCTAAGCAAAACTTCCTCTTCTTCTTCTTTTTTTAAAGATTTATTTATTTATTCATGAGACACACACACAGAGGAGAGAGAGAGAGAGAGAGAGAGAGAGAGAGAGAGAGAGAGAGGCAGAGAGAGAGGCACAGACACAGGCAGAAGGAGAAGCAGACTCCATGCAGGGAGCCTGAGGTGGGACTCAATCCCAGGTCTCCAGGATCACACCCTGGACTGAAGGTGGCGCTAAATCGCTGAGCCACCTGGGCTGCCCAAAACTTCCTCTTCTTGAACTGCTTATTTTCACCTGCTAATATCTTTAAAAATTATGAAGAATGTTTATTCTTACTTAAGAATTTGAGGAACTCAAAAAAAAAAGAATTTGATGAACTCTTGTTATTTTGACATATTGGTATTGATTTTACAAAGCAATTATGCTAATTTTAAGATTTGAAAGCAATAAATATTTTTGTAATTTTTTGTTAATAAAGTTTGTAATTTTTTTTGTAGATTATTCACCTCGATGAGGATTGCATAACAGAACTTTCTGTACATCACAGAAATAACAGGCAAACAATGGAGGATTTAATTTCACTGGTAAGAAATACAACATGAATTTGAGAATAGTATCTTTTGTTTTATTCTTTATTGATACAATAAATGTATTGATAAAGTACATTAAAAATAATATAGTGTTTTTCAAACCTGTGATTTTTTCATGGGTGTAAATATTATATTTATGTGTGATTTTCACTCTGTTCTTTACTCATATCTGCTAGATATCCTCTTAAAAATAACATTGATTACAGAATATTATAGTGGGAGAAAAATGAAGCAACAGAAGAAACTAGTCCATAGAGAATTGACGGAGTTCTTATTTTACTCCTTGAAATTCTCTAACATGGAACTATGATTTTGCTGTAGGAATAGGTAAACGCAAAGCACTTTTCGTCTTACCTAAAAGCAACCCCATAGCATCACATCACCCTTAAGCTATGAACCAAATACCATGAAATCATTATCATGATTTCTGTGTTAGATTGTTTTAGCTCTTTCAGATGCTTAATCTCGAGATTTTTTTCCTAGAGACAGAGGCACTCACAGCTGACTTTGAGTATAATCTAACCTGATAGGCAGAGATTGTGCCTAACTTTGCTCCTGGTTCAGTACTGTTCATCAACTATGATTTGTGTTTTTTCTCTTTTCTAATTGGCAAGGTAAAGGCCTTAAGAAAATATTTTTTTACTAAACAAAGCTTTGCTAAACCACAGTTCTTTTCAGTGAGGAGATATAAAGGATTTATTTTGAATGATGTAATAAAGGTTCAGGAATGTGTCTGGAAAACAGAATGATAATTTAGTTTTTCATGGATAATGCCTTTATTTTATTTTTTTAAAGATTTTATTTATTTATTTGCGAGAGAGGGAGAAGCAGACTCCCCACTGAGCAGGGAGTCCCACATGAATGGGGCGATCCTAGGACCTTAAGATCACCCTTACCTTTTACTTGAGTAAAAGGGAGAGGCATAATTAACTGAGCCACTGAGAAGCCCCAGATAATGCCTTTAAAGGAATAGCAAGAATTGGGAATTGCTGCAAGGTCTTTTATAATGAAAGTCTGAAGTTTCCATTTAAGTAACTTTAAAAAAAATAAGACTTTTTTTTAGGATGAAAGACTAGAAATCTTATGTATTTGAAATGTAGTCTTCTATATTTCTGAATATGTATCTGAAATATAATCTTCAGATACTAAGATTTCTTTTAAAATTTTTATTTTAGGGCACCTGGGTGGTTCAGTTGATGTCTGCCTTTAGCTTAGGTTATGATCCCAGGGTCCTGTGATTGAGTCCCATGTTGGGTTCCCTGCTCAGTGGGGAGTCTGCTTCCCCTTCTGTGCTTCCCCCTGCTTGTGATCTCTCTCTTTCTCTCAAATAAATAAATAACAATCTTAAAATAATTAAAAAACTTGATTCTAGAAATTTTCAAACACCTACAAAAGTAGAATTGCTTAACAGAGATCTTCCATGCTGAGATCAGGTTTCAACAGTTAATGATGTTTTGCTGTTTTATCTGTATTCCAGCTCCCTCTCCCATCTGTCCTTTTAAACTACAATATTTCAAAGCTAGTCCTGACATCCTGTTTTTTGTTTTTTGTTTTTTTGTTTTTTTGAGAAAAAATTTGATGTGAGATCCACAGACTTAAAATCTGAATCTTAAAAGTAATATGCTTAGTGGGGCACCTGAGTGGCTTGGTTGGGTGTCTGGCTCTTGATCTCAGCTCAGGTCTTGATCTTGGGGTCATGAGTTCGAGCCCCACATTGGAATTTAAAGAACTATTGAAAAAAAGTTCTTAAATTGGTATCCTTTATGTGATCTTTACGTACAAATTACGAACTTAAGAGTGGAATGGAAATAGGAATTGTTTAATTCTGATACAGAAAAAGATTTTAGGTCAGCTGTGGTCTCTTACACTTTTTCTGGCACTTTGGGAGCTTTGCCTTTATTTTGGGGGCTAGTTAGGACAGAGAGTTGAGTTTAGTGTGATCCATACTGATACTGTTGATCTTTGTGCAGAGACAGAAACAATATTATTCTCAAATATTTGAGTCCTAGAACTCCTCTATATCATATACATGGGAATCCTTTGTTTTTAAGATCTTATTTATTTGAGAAAGAGAGAACGTGAATGGGAGTAGGGGCAGAGGAAGAGGGAGAATCAGATGCCCACTGAGCCCGGAGCCTGATACAGGGCTGGATCCCAGGACCTTGTAATCATGACCTGGGCCAAAGTTAGACACTTAACCGACTGAGCCACCTAGGCACCCCCTATACATGAGCACTCTTAAACTGCTTTTGATATGCAGAAGTTAGAGTTTCATATGTGTTTTGATTTTGAGCTATCTCACTGTAGCCCTCTTGAGACTCCTAGTAGTGGTACTAGAGCTTCCTTCCACCTGATTGCTTTCCTTATTTTCCCCCAATTCTTCCAACTGTGAGTGGCTGTGGATTGTGGGAGCAGCCCATCATCTGGTCGAGGGTCTTCACTGAGGATTACATGTGCATATGAGAACCTATTCCCACCAGCTCCTTTCCCCACCACTGCAGTGCAAATCCTCATGTATTCTGGTGGCAGAAGTTTAAAGATTGAGGACCTCACGACCAAAGTCAGGAGAAGGATAGTGAGCCATTCCTCAATTTCTCAAACACTCTGTACCAGTAACTGTCCTCAGCCCAGGTGCCTGGGTAGTTCTTTAACATGTAGCCTGTGTGAACAATAACTGGGGATTTTTAAATGGTTTGTTTTTTAGAAATGGAACCTTCTTTATGATAGGTAAACCTATTGCTTCACTTTCAGACATTTGACTTTCAAAACAGGGAACTGCTTAAAAGATAAGGGAGACATTGGTTGTGTTAGACTTGTGGTTGGCAGCACTGAAAGCGTAACTAATATGCCGATTAATCTGTTATTGAACATAACTCTCCCGTGTATCTACTTGTAATGAGTAGTGTGCAGTAGCTATGGCAAAAGTCATAAAAAGGATGCCTTTTTTTGCTTAGGGATAAAGAGGGGTTAGAGTTATAAAACTCTTAGGCAGTTTTAGAGGACTCCATCTAAAACTGTCCAGGTATTGTTTACAATGCCTGGATTGTGCCATACCGTTGTTGATAAACAAGAGGCAACATGTTTCTGAGCCATTGTCTGTAATCAGTTTATGGTATCTCTTTCAAAAGGGTAGGACTGTCATACTGGAGAGAGATTGTGACTCATGGTGTTTACCCACTCCCAAGTACTTTCTCTAAGAAACTTTATGTCCTTCCTTCCAACTCATCCTTTTTGGATTAAAAGCCACATTCTGTGATAATTTATCACAGTATTATATACTTCTTCCACTAGATTGATAGGTCCATTATATAAATTTCAAAGCATACCCAATGATTGTGGCCATCTAAAATATTAACTGATGAAATGTATTAATAAAAACAGTTTTTGGGACACCTGAGTGGCTCAGTGGTTGAGCGCCTGCCTTTGACTTGGGTCGTGATTCCAGGGTCCTGGGATCAAATCTCACATCAGGCTCCTCATGGGGAGCCTGCTTTTCCGTCTACCTATTTCTCTGCCTCTTTCTGTGTCTCTCATGAATAAAAAAATCTTCAAACAAACAAACAAACAAACAGTTTTTATTTACACCTTTTTGGTAGTAGTCCCCTTTGGATCATGTGCCTTGTGAGGAGATACATACATGTATTAAATATTATTCAATATTATTAAACTTTAACACTCTAGTAGGGTAAAGAGTTACTTAGTCTTATGAGTACATACTTAGAAACTTTGAGTTATACATGGTGGATTGAACAGATATATCCACTGCTTCCTAAAACCTCAATAAAATAATAATAAAGAGCTAAAAAGATAAAAAATTCACAAAGATGATGAGAATAAAAGAGGAGACAAAAAGTAATGTCAATAACATTGGGGGAGTTATAAAATAGATAAATGGCATCTGACATAGCGTTTTAGAGAAAGCTGAGAGCTAAGTGCCTGCAAGGGGGAAAAGAAAATAAGTGATTAGATCCCTAGGCTTAGGAACCAGAAATACTAGGAACCTCTGAAGTTAGGGAAGTAAGTAGGGTAGAAAACAGGAGGATCAGTTGAAAGTCTGTATTAGAAGCAATTGGACTCAAGGTCCCTTTCTCTACCTTATGCTGCATGACTACCATCTCTTCCTTACCCTAGCAGAAGATGGGAAACATTGAACAAGAAGCACTTGTGCACCATACACAGCTCAGGGGTAGGGGTGATGAGCCATTCTGAAATGGATATATGGACACATGTGGTCTTCATATTCAGTAGTGAACCACTTAACCACCTTCCCTATTCAACTCTTAGAATGCTAGACCCAGGATTTTATCCTGTTTGCAGTGGGAGTGGGGAAAATATTGGAAGATTCAGTTCTGGGGAAGAGCCAAGAGAGAGGACCTACTATACCAGTGATTGGGAGTTAAGATTTCTGTCTGTTTACCATAGAGAAAAGCCCTGAAGGTGATAAGCAGCCTCAAACTATGCATAGAGCCTTTAGTTAGCTGTGCTTTATAATTCTTTACCTTTAAATAGAGACAGGCAGCCAAAGATTACCAGACATTTGAGGAAAGCCTCTAAAATGAAAATCAGAGATCAAAACAAATGGCAGGGGTGGTGAGGGGGGGAGAAGGAAGAAAAGCAAAGATATTCAGAAATAAAAGATAATGCAGGGAGTGGAAGAAAATGCCTAGAAATGATAATATTCTCAGAGATAAGAGAAGCTATTTCTTTTTTGAAATAAGAATAAAATGACTAAAAAGGAACATTTCAAGAGATAGCACTTGAAAATTTAAGATATGACCACAGAAATGAAAAGCTTAGTAGAAATGATTGAGAATAAAATTAAAGGAAAATCTTTCAAAAGTAGAATCTAAAGACAAAGAGATGCACAAATAGAACAGAATGGGTAAGAAAGGTCCAACATACAAATAATAGAAGTTGCAGGAAGATAAAACAGAAGAAAGGAGGGAAGGGAAGAAAGCATCAAAGAAATAATACAAGAAGAAAAAATATTCCAGAACGGATGGTTTCTAAGTTAGTAGAACTGAGTTTTTAAGAATGAAGGGGCTTAGTCAGGGTTTGGAGATATGAATGAAAATAGATCCACACGAAGTGAAATTTCAGAAAACCAGGGGAAAGAGAATATCCAAAAAGTTTCCAGAGACTAAAAAAGCACCCAAAAGATCATAAAGAAAGGCTTGGAGTCAGAAAGACTAGATTTTTCAGTAGCTGTACTAGAAGTGAGAAGACCTGGGACACCTGGGTGGCTCAGCGGTTGAGTGGTTCCCTTTGACTCAGGGTGTGATCCTGGAGTACCAGGATTGAGTAGGGCTCAATCTTCTGTGGGGAGCCTACTTCCTCCCTCTGCCTATGTCTCTGCTTCTCTCTCTGTCTCATGAATAAATAAATAAAATCTAAAAAAAAAAAAAGAAAAGAAAAGAAAAGAAATGAGAAGACCATGGAATAATATTTTCAGAACTATGAAAATTATTATCATCCCAGAATTCTGTACTCAGCCAAACTAGAATCAAGTGTGAGGATGGAATGAAGTCATTTATCAGATGTGCAGGATCACGCAAATTTACCTCCCATTCATCCACCCTCAGAAAGTTACTGGAGGAGCTATTCCACCAAAACAAGAGAGAGGAATATTTGGAATCAGGGAAACTGGGGACACATTGTAGATTAGAGGTGAAGGGCATCCCTAGACTGATAGTTGAGTTGCAGGTTGAAAAAGAAGCCAGTCCAGAGTGGAGCAAGGAATGCAGACATGGAATATCTTCAAAAGGGCAATGGAAGAGGGAACAGATTAGCTGGTGTGTATGGACATGCTGAGAAGGTAAAGAGTGCTGGAGAGTGTGGAGTTGAATTAGTAAGACAAGTAACTGCCTCTTTTTTATGTTTAATTTTGGGAAAAACCAAGATACAAAGGAAAGAAATGCAAGGGTAGCACCCTGCATAGTTTAGCTGCAGTTCTGTACTGGTTGTTAAGATATTAGAATATTTATCTACTCATTGATAAAGAACTCCTACTCTGAGTGCCCTCCCTGTTATCTCTTACCTCCCTTAGGTCCCCTGGGCACCTCCTTGGGACCCAGTGATTAAAAGGTTAATAATTGTCATGGCAAAGGTGCCTCGGGACCCTACTCACCTCTCAGTTCTCTGTTCAGGGTACCAATTAAGTATTTGAACATTCCCCCTACTCAGTAGTGAATACTATTTACATAATCATAATAGTGTAAATATTGATTTAACTAAAAATTGTGATAAAATTATAGTAGGAGGATGCAAGGAGGAAGAATGTATAGGGCAGGAAGGAGTTGTAGTAGAACTAAATCCTTATTTTCCATACTAGGAAATTCACAGATAATATGTGAAGCTGAAAAAAAATTTAAAGCTATATAAACAACATAGAAACAGTAGAAATACTAAAAGTATTTAAAGGTGGTTCCCTCTGAGGAACAGAAACTCTGTGTGTGTGTGTGTGTGTGAGAGAGAGAGAGAGAGAGAGAGAGAGAGATGGTATAAGAGATTGCAATTTCTTTGAATGGAAAAAGAAATTAAAGTAAAATAAAACATTATTTCGAAAAACAACTTTAGTCTTCTAAATAAATTGATTTTATTTTTTTTCCAGTGGCAGTATGATCACCTCACTGCTACCTATCTTCTGCTTCTAGCCAAGAAGGCTCGGGGAAAACCAGTTCGTCTAAGGCTTCCTTCTTTTTCCTGTGGACTAGCCAGTACCACCCCATTCACAAACATCAAGGTAAATGTCAGACCTTTTGTGTGAACACTCGCTGCTTTTTTTTTTTTAAGGGGGGAATAGGGAGAGGGAGAATCTTTTTAAAAATTTATTATATACAACTCTAAAAATAATAAGAGTTTTTACATGGCATTGAACTAATCCTCTCCTCCCCTCTGTTTTTCACAAAAGTAATTTCTGATTGTTGTAGAAAAATTTTAAGCCACAGATGAGCTAAAGGAAATAGAACTTATCTATGAACCTACTACCTGTAGGTTTAATTTGACTGTATCTTTCCGGTCCTTTTTATTATGTTTATTTATGTAATTTATGTATATACAAGTGCTTTTAAAAGATACCATATTACTGCATCATGGATAAAAATTCTAAAAATTGTTAAGATTTCTGAAGGGGGATATATTATACTTTGTACCACATAAAATAATTTAATGAATATTTTGATATTCATTTGTGTTGATTGTTTAGGTTTTGTTTTGAGAAGTAATTATAGCTTATGTAACTCAAATTCCTTGTATGAATTTGTGGTGACCATATTATTTTTTTTTCTATTTTTGTCTCCTTTGTCTCATTTTTCTTTGTCACGAGCATTTAGAATGGTGCAAAAGCTTTACATTTTTGGAAGCACTGTATCATTCCTAAGATTAGTCTTTGTCTTCTGTCTGATTCTTTGTTATCTAAAATCCTGCCTTCCAAATCCTTTGCTGGCTGGGTGTGGAACTTTGTAATATAGTAAATCTTCCCTTTGATTAATTTAGGTTGCAATTTAAGTTATTCCAGCACTAGGAAATTGTACTTTTACTATTCTCAGAGAGAGGTAATTAGTTCTCTTTACAGAATTCCATTATAGCCCAAATGACTGTATAGGTGAGGCGATTTTATTCCTTTAGGTCTCAAAACTGTTAAAAAGAAAAAAAAGGCCACCTTTTTCATGAGCTTGTGTTTAATCTCCCTCTGACCCCTCTGATTTGCTTTACCGCTTCATTTATTTTATTTTTCTTTTTATTCATTCATTCATTCATTCATTCATGAGAGACACAGAGAGAGAGAGAGGCAGAGACACAGGCAGAGGGAGAAGCAGGCTCCATACAGGAAGCCTAATGTGGGACTCGATTCTGGGACTCCAGGATCATGCCCTGAGCCGAAGGCAGACGCTCAACCGCTGAGTCACCCAGGCGTCCCTACTGCTTCATTTAGAACTCTCTTTTTGGTACTTGTCAATCCTCTGCTGCAGATATAAGGGATCTTCTGTTCTTCCCAGATCCTGCCAGTCCCTTCTTCCTTCCCTAGTTGATCTTTTGACCAAACTAAGCATTAAAAGTGTCAGTAGCTGTTATGTAAAGGAATCTCTGAAGTGAGATAATGTCATTCCTGGGTTGGGTTTTCTTGTCTGTTCTTTTTTTTTTTTAAGATTTTATTTTTATTTATTAACAAGAGACACACAGAGGTAGAGACATGGGCAGAAGGAGGAGAAGCAGGTCCTGTGCAGGGAGCCTGATGCGGGACTTGATCCCAGGACTCCAGGATCACACCCTGAGCCAAAGGCTGATGCTCAACCACTGAGCCACCCAGGTGTCTGTCCCTCTTGTCTGTTCTTGAAGAGTTGTATTGGATTGGTGAATACCCCATGCCCAGACAGATCTTTTACCCATGGACTTCATGAGTTGTCCTATCACTCACCCTGCCTACATTGCTGGACCCTTTAATCTCTCAGGCTGAAGTGAATACCTTTAGGTCCGGGAGGATACAAAATCATGAACTCTGTTCTTTTCTTTTTTAGGATTTTATTTATTTTATTCATTAGAGACACACAGAGAGAGGCAGAGACATAGGCAGAGGGAGAAGTAGGCCCCCTATGGGGATCCTGCTGCAGGACTGGATCCCAGGACCCTGGGATGATGACCTGAGCCAAAGGCAGACGCTCAACCACTGAGCCACCCAGGTGCCCCATGAACTCTGTTTCTGATCAAGGTAGTTTCAGAAAGGAATTAGATAAGTGTATACTTATAATTAATTTTATATTAAATTATATACAAATGATATATATTAATTTATAATAAACCTTATTAACTTCAGCTAAATTTTTACATTTATGATACCTTAGTTAATAGGCATGAGACATTTTCCTAAGTCACTGAATTTTCTTATATCTGATTGGTCTGATCTCAGTTCATCTGCTTATAACATTTATGAAGTACTCAAATGGAAACAGTCTGGGAAGATGCTTACTCTTCTCTTTCCACTAATGAGCATTGACCCTGATCATGTAATTATTTGGGCATTTATGTTATTTAATCAATTTTTACGGTAGGCAGACATTTTAATGACAAAAAATGGAGCAGAAATCAAATTTTAGGTTGTTTTCTGGTTTTATGCAAATCATTGAAATGTGAAACAAGGTTCCTTTGTACTCTTCTCCCCCTTGATAGAATCCCTTTTTTTCTGGGGTATTATTTATAAGAAAGTAGGTAATCCTGAGCTATTAATTAATAGATGGTGTTTTCAGTGAAACAATAATACAGTCTGATCCAAGAAGCACAGAAGACTATATCATCAACATACCATTAGCATTTTCAGGCCTATGCTTGCTCTGTAACAGTTAAGTTGAGGCAAAACATTCATAAGTTAACACTATACTGGAATAGTAGCTGATGGGTGCCAATAAGGGCCTAGAGGTGTGCTCTAGTGGCTTTAGGAAGGGAGTGATCACCACAGGTGATCCAAGCTGGATCTGTGGTCAAGTCTAGAAAAAAATGGAAAAGAAGGAACACAGTATTCAAGGCAGGGTAAATAAATTAGCAAAATCTGAGGCACCTAACTGTGCTTGATATGTCTGTTGGCAGTCACCAGACTTTAGTTAAGATGGAAAGGTCAAGTAGGGGAAAGGTGAGAGGAAGAGGAGGAGGAAGTGATCTGGGAGGGTACAGGAGATCTAGATTATAGAGAACCTTGAAATGTCGTATCAGAAGGGTTAGACTAGGTATGCTAGGGTTATAACTAGGGTTATGCTATAGGTAATGGGAACCATTGATTTTTGAACAAGATAGGATAAGTCACTGACGTGACTATAATTTAAATTTTTTAAAATTTAAATTCAATTAATTAGCATATACTATTTGTTTCCGAGGTAGAGGTCAGTGATTCATCAGTCTTATGTAATACCCAGTGCTCATTATATCATATGCTGTCTCCAGTATTCATCACCCAGTTATCCCATCTCCTTCCCACCTCCCCTCCAGCGACCCTCAATTTGTTTCCTACGATTAAGTGTCTTTTCTGTCTGTCTCCCTCTCTGATTTCATCTTGTTTTATTTTTTCCTCTCTCCCCTATGATCCTGTTTTGTTTCTTAAATACCACACACGAGTGAGATCATATAATAATTGTCTCTCTGATTGACTTATTTCACTTAGCGTAAGTAATATCCTCTAGTTCCATCCACAGTCATTGAAAATGGCAAGATTTCTTTTCTTTTTTTTTTTTTTTTATGGCTGAGTAGTAGTCCTTTGATGGTGAGCTCCTTAAGTATATTATCTCTGCTTTGTTTCTGCGTCAGGGCCTTGCCCTTTGCCTTGAACATACTCTTTTAAAAATTGAATCATGATGCTGTTGTCTCTAAATTCTTCTGATTTTCAATAGTCAAAGAATCTGAGTCTAGAAGATATGACAACAAGTGATGAAAACTGTGTGGCTGGATTGATAGACTATGACTGGTGTGGAGACAGTTCATCAACAGGTGTGGCCACTCCACAAACACCACAGGTTGGTTATTTGTATTACTATTTAAAGCAGTATATGTTATCTTAATTATAAAAACATTCAGACTCTAATGTGATATGTATAGTAGTAGTTCTGTGTAATATGCAGTATTGTGTATGTGCTTGTGAATTTAATGAATTCCTAAATCATTGAAAACATTAATGAGAAATTGTTGGAATATAAATGGAAGGGAAGCCAGTTATTTCCAAGTTGAAGAAAGCCAAGATTCCATTTTGGAGCATTTTCCTGCTCCTCTTTTCGCTTTTCTTGTCTTTTTACTCCCCTCCCCTCCCCTCCCCTCCCCTCCCCTCCCCTCCCCTCCCCTCCCTCCCCTCCCTCCTCCCTTCCCTTCCCTTCTTCTCCTCTCCTCTCTCCTGCCCTACCCTCTCCAAAAATAAGATATAGCTTACATATAGTTAATTATTCACCATTTTAATGTATGATTCTGTGTGTTTTGACAAATGCATACCATGTAACCTTCATCAAAATCAAGAACAGTTCTGTTGCACCCTCAAATTCCCTCATGCGTCTTTGTGGTCAACTCCATATTCCTCCCAACTCAGAGAAGCAACTGATTTGTTTTTTTCTCCTTCTGATGATTTTTTTTTTTTAAATCTTACTTGGTGTTTGTTGAACTTAGTGGATGTACAGTGAATGTTACTCCTCTGCTCTCTCTGAGGGGGCCACAAGGAGTGTACTCCTTCCTACAGTAGTGAAATGCAGGAGCAGGTATGCATGTTTCTGCTCAGAGAATCACACTAGAGACTTAGAATCCGGAGTTTTTACTGGGGGCTGGTTACACAGGCTCTCTTTGTCGGTGTAATCAGTCATAATTACAGAAATTCTAGATTGCTAGAAGGAAAGCTGGTGTTCATCATTAATCACACTGCTTGTAGTCTGTACAGCCTAGTACAGCAAGGTTTGGTGCCCCAGCTGTGCAAACAGACTTATCCCAACAGTATTTGGAACTTTCTAAAACCTGAGTTCCCAGCTTCCAGCCGGGACCTACTATGCTAACTCTGGTGCACAGCAAGACCTGTTACATATGTGTAAGAGTCCTATTGTGTGTATACTTAGGAGTGGAATGAGTATCTTCAACTTTACCAGCCAATTTTTTCCCCCAAAGTGGTTGTATTAATTTTACTTCAACCAGCAGTAGAAGAGTGTTCCCATTGTTCCACATATTTATTAATATTGATATTTTTAGCTATTTAATATTTAAATAGTTTCTAATCTAGTGAGTATAAAGTTCTATCTCCACTGTTGAAAAGTCAACTCTTTCACCACCAGGTCTACAGTGATACTTCAATCATATATCAAGTTGTTGTAGGAGTTGTGTCTGTTTCTGGGCTATATTTTGTTTTATTGGTTTATTTTCACCAATACTATACTTCTTAATTACTTAAATTTTATAATTGTTCTTCTGTTGGTGGGCCAATTTCCTCCCATCTTATTCTTCCTTAGGAATGTTTTGGCTATTACTCTTGCCCCTTTGCATTTCCATATACATTTTATTTATTTTTTTTTAAAGATTTTATTTATTTATTCATGAGAGACACAGAGAGAGAGAGGCAGAGACACAAGCAGAGGGAGAAGCAGGCTCCATGCAGGAAGCCCGATGTGGGACTTGATCCTGGGACTCCAGGGCCAAGGGCAGGCGCTAAACCACTGAGCCACCCAGGGATCCCCTCCATATACATTTTAGAATCATTCTGACAAATTTCATGGACACTGAAAAATTGAAATTACATTGAATTTAAGATTCAACTTGAAAAAAAAAAGATTCAACTTGGTAGAAATTGAAATCTGGACCCTCAGATCCCACTACCCATAAACAGTAAATCTCTTCATTTATTAGGTTTTAGGTAGTTGCTTTCAATAAAGTCTTATACATTTCCCCAAAAAAGGCTTGTATTTTTTATTAGATTTGTTCCTAAGTACTCTTATTTTTTATTGCTATTGGAAATGGTAGGTTTTTTAAAATCACATTTTCTGCTACTGGTGTATAGATATAAAATTGATTTTTGTTTATTGATCTTATATACAACTTTCCTAAACTCTTAAGTTCTTATGTTGTTTGCTTATTCATTTTTTTGAGAGTGTGTTAGTGTGGGGTGGAAGGTGGTGGGGTCGGGGTGGGGGTTGGGGAAAGGGCAGAAGGAGAGGGAGAGAATCTTAAGGAGACTCCATGCTGAGCAGGGAACCTGATGCAGGGCTTGATTTCATAACCCTGAGATCACAACCTGAGCCAAAATGAAGAGTCAGGGCACCTGGGTGGCTCAGTGGGTTGAACATCTACCTTTGGATCAGGTCATGATTCCATGATCCTGGGATCAAGCCCCACATTGGGCTCCCTGCTCAGTAGGGAGTCTGCTTCTCCCTCTCTCTCTCTCTCTCTCTCTCTCTCTCTCTCTCTCTCTCTCCTCGCTCCCCCAACCCCCCGCTCCTGTTTTTTTTCTCTTTCTCTCAAATAAATAAATAAAATCTTAAAAAACAACAACAGTCAGAGGTTTAACCAGCTGAGCCACCCAGACTCCCGTCTGTATATTTTTTGAGTGTTCTATATAGAAAAGTATGTCATCTATGGATGACAGTTTTTTTCTTCCTTTTTAATTCTTATGCCTTTAATATTCTTTTATTACTATATTCAGTAGACCTAGCAATATAGCAGATACTCTGTGTTCTTCCCAACTGTTAAAAAAAAAATGCTGCTTTTATCATTAAATATGTTTGTTTTCTCTCTCTCCCTCTTATACCTTCTTCCCCTCCACACTCTTTTTCTCCCTCTCCCCCTCTGTCATTCTTCTGCTCTCCCCACTGCACCTCCCCATCTCTTATTTTTCAGATTAAGGCATGTTTTTCATTTAGTCCTGGTTTGCTAAGATTTGTTTAAATATCACAAATCTCTGTTGCAGAAAACAGATTAAGGTTTACCTATTGAAATAATCATCTATTTTTGTTCCTTTCATTAGTTAAGGTAGTTTGTTGTATATCAACAATTTTGATGTTAAACCAGCCTTGTATTCTTTACGTAAGCCCAGTTAACTATTTATTTTATTTTATTTTTTATTTTTTTATTTTTTAAAAGGCTAATTTTTTTTAAATTTTTATTTATTTATGATAGTCACACAGAATGAGAGAGGGAGGCAGAGACATAGGCAGAGGGAGAAGCAGGCTTCATGCACTGGGAGCCCGACGTGGGATTCGATCCCGGGTCTCCAGGATCGCGCCCTGGGCCAAAGGCAGGCGCCAAACCGCTGCGCCACCCAGGGATCCCAACTATTTTTTTTAATACATTGTTTGGTTTTGTTTGCTAACATTTTGTTCAGAATTTTTGCTTCTATGTTCTTTTTTTTTTTTTTTTTTTAAATTTTTATTTATTTATGATAGTCACAGAGAGAGAGAGGCAGAGACACAGGCAGAGGGAGAAGCAGGCTCCATGCACCGGGAGCCTGACGTGGGATTCGATCCCTGGTCTCCAGGATCGCGCCCTGGGCCAAAGGCAAGCGCTAAACCGCTGCGCCAACCCAGGGATCCCCTGCTTCTATGTTCTTAAATGAAATTGGCCTATAATTTCTTTCTTATACTTTTTTCTTTGAAAATTTATTTGTTATTACAGAAGTAATACATAGATATATTCATCTTATAAAACATTCAAACAATATAGAACAATGTCGAATAATGAAAGACTTTCCTCTCCTTGTATTCCATTCCATTTTGTATTAATCTTATCTGATTTTGGTATTGTGATTATATTAGTCTTCTAAAATGAATTGGGATGTGTTCCTTTTTTATTCTTTGGAATTTTTTTAAAAAAGATTTTATTTATTTATGAGAGAGAGAGAGAGAGAGAGAGAGAGAGCAAGTGAGAGAGTGCATGAGTAGGTGGAGGGGCAGAGGGAGAGGGAGAAGCAGACTTCCCACTGAGCAGGGAGTCCAAAGTAGGGCTCCATCCCAGGACCCCAGGGATCATGACCTGAGCCAAAGGCAAACACTTACCTGACTGAGCCACCCAGGTGGTCTCCTCCTGGAATGTTTTTTTAAGAGCTAGGGATTATATTTTCCTTGAATGCAGGGGGGACCATGCAGGTAGTATGAATTTGGTACCCAAACTATGTGAAATTACAAATTATAATTATTATTTGAAATTACAAATTATTAAAGAAGATTTTTGCTTCTCTAGAGCCAAGGCCAGGCCAGACACATTTCGCGCCAACTCCTTTCCAGGGCAGATTCATATTTAATTCACTCTTTCATTTTAACTGTAGCCCAGTCTGGCTTTTTTTGAGAGGTTTGGTTGTAACTTACCACCTTGCATACTCTAAGGCTTCCATGGCTGTTACAGCCCATGCTGTTAGTTATCCAAGATAGAGTAGATAGGTGCCCTTAGAGCTAGGACAGTTTTGGCCTTCATTATGTCTCTGGATTCATGCTCCTCTTTTTAGTTTAGCCTCTGAGGATTTTCCTTATTTTTTTGCAAGCTCAGCCATAAATTCAAAAGGATTAAATATTTAGTATCCAACTTTTCCGTTAGAGTATTTTAACACGGTTTTTCTGCTCTAATCATAGACTAAACTTTGATTTTTTGGTACATACTGGAGACAAACCATGGCAATCTAGGCATGGGAAATAGTTCTTAGGGATTTATTTATGGCCATTCTCAGTATTGCCTGAGATCTGGGTATGTTTGATTTAACATTTAGCCTGAAACATGTTGAAATGATCTGTCAATAGAACAGACTAAAGTAATCTACATGTACTAAAGAGAACTGAATATACATTTTCAAATTCCCTGGTATTGCCAATAATATCCTTTTGAGAGTATTTCATTTTAATAAAAATGATGCAAGGTAATTTGCAAATGATTAAGGCACGTTGTAGAGAAATTGACTTTTTTTCTTTGTCAGTGTGCCTTATCCAGTAACTTTTTTTTTTTTTTTTCCAGTTTGCCAAGCATTGGACAGAATCAAATGGTCTGGAATCTAAATCATTAACTCCAGTATTATGCAGAGCATCTGCTGATAAATTAAAGAACAAAGAGAATGTATATATGCCTAAGTCTGCTGTAAAGGATGATGACTGCTTTGTATTTCCTGAGCCAAAGACTCCAGTTAATAAGAGCCAGTATAAGAGAGAAATACTCTGTACACCAAATCATTACACTACACCCTCAAAAGGTATTTGCTATATGGACTAATCAGTGGCAACATACTTCAAATTCCGTTCTTCTTACCATCTAAATAAACTTAGAGCAGATCAGAAATGACTAGCATTGCTCTCAGGAATTTCTGCTTCTTTATCATGTTAATTGCATTGATTGAAATGAAAGCATATTAGTCAACTTCTAATTTTTCTTAAGTGAATTTTTTTCTTTTTTTCACATATATAGAATTGAATCATAGCATCATAGAATATCAAAACCAAGAGGCAAGTTAGAGCTCATTTCATCCACCTGCCTTTTTCACAGCTGAAGAACCTGAACCTCAGAAGACTGATTTGCCCAAGGTCATATATCCAGAGTTAGACTTGCTTTCTCCTTTGCCTCTACTTATCATGGCTAAAGCTGAAGTCTCTGCTGAGCCCTTCTTACTTGTCTAGCTCTCCAGTTCTGGGATCTGATCCTGCTCTTGCCCATATTCCAGCGGACAGGAGAGACCTGTGATGTCCTTCTAGATATCTAGATCTGTGTCCGGATGTTACAACTTTCTCATTACCTTTGGTTTCCTGGTCAGCTCAGTCATCACCAGTTATATAAGCTGTTTCCTTTATGACACCTCACTGTCTTCTTCCTGGCCTTATTTGGGCATGTTCTGTTTTGTCATTGTGCCTCTTAAGACAGTGCTTAGAACTGAACCCAGTTTTCTTGTACCAAGTCTCCTCTAGTACCAAGTCTCAAGGATGAGACAGCAAGTGTCACAAGAGTAGAGATTGTGTCTGCTGTGTTTATGACAGCATGGTGTAGTCTAGGAAGAGCCGTGTTTATTGTCTGGTGCGTAGTAGATTCCCATTGCCTTGTGTGTGGTGGGACTATACCTGTTGAATGAAGGAATACAAAAATTAGAGCCTGAGGGGTATGTATGTATGTATGTATGTATGTATGTATTTATTTATTTTTAAAGATTTTATTTATTGATTCATGATAGACATAGAGAGAGAGAGAGAGAGAGAGGCAGAGACACAGGCAGAGGGAGAAGCAGGCTCCATGCTGGGAGCCCAACGCAGGACTCGATCCTGGGACTCCAGGATTGTGCCCTGGGCCAAAGGCAGGTGCTAAACCACTGAGCCACCCAGGGATCCCCCTGAGGGGTTTTATTTACTGTAATATAGTCTGTCACATTAAAATGACCCCTAAACTTTTGGCCGTATTTCCAGCAATTGTGACCTTCTCTTGATTTTGAGAGAGAGAGAAAGTGCAAGTGGGAGGAGCAGACAGAGAGGGAGAGAGAGAATTTCAAGCAGGCCCCACACTCAGCACAGAGCCCAACATGAAGCTTGATCTCATGACCCTGAGATCATGACCTGAGCCAAAATCTAGAGTCAGAGATTTAATTGACTGAGCCACCCAGGAGTCCCTGACCTACTTGTTTTATATTAAGAGCCTCATGAACCCAAATTCTGAGACTGCCCTGTGAACTGCTGTTAAATCACATCCTTCCCTCATGCTTTCAGTTTACTAATGTGGCTGATAGCCAGTTCCAGAGCTCTATTTCTTTCTTTTCTTTTTTTTCTTTTCTTTCTCTTTTTTTTTTTTTTAAGATTTCATTTGTTCATTCATGAGAGACATATACACACACACAGAGAGAGAGAGAGAGAGAAGAGAGAGGCAGAGGCAGAGATACAGGCAGAGGGAGAAGTGGGCTCCATGCTGGGAGCCTGACGTGGGAATCCATCCCGGGACTCCAGGATCACGCCCTGGGCTGAAGGCAGGCGCCAAACCCACTGAGCCACCTAGGGATCCCCCAGAGCTCTATTTCTTATAAAGAAAGTATGAAAAACTTTGCCAGAATATTTATTGGGAGTTCTATTATTATGTTAATGGCCTTCTCATTCATCAGCTCAGACAACGCTTTCCCCAGAATTGTGAGGCTAGTTTGCTGTGATAAGCATTTGTGGCTGCCTGGTGTTGTTATGAGGTTTCAGTGAGATAACCTTGGATATAGTGGGACCTTAGTAGTAGCTGCTATTGCGTTTTTTTCCTAATGAGAGGTGTTCCTCTTCTGTTATTTGTTAATATAGCTACAACATCCTTTGTGAGTCAGGGAGTTGGGTAGTAAGATAAGATGGACTTTAGCTATTGAGGCCTTTTTTTTTTAAGCCTTTGAATGTTTATAATCCCTTCTGTTACTCTTTGTGTGTGTGTGTATGCTTTAACTTAAAAAAAATTTTTTTTAAGATTTATTCATTTATTTTTTAGAGAGAGTATGTGTATGTGTGTGCATGTGCATGCGTTTATGCGGTAGGAAGAAGGGCAGAGGGAGGGATCCCTGGGTGGCGCAGCGGTTTAGCGCCTGCCTTTGGCCCAGGGCGCGATCCTGGAGACCCGGGATCGAATCCCACGTCGGGCTCCCGGTGCATGGAGCCTGCTTCTCCCTCAGCCTATGTCTCTGCCTCTCTCTCTCTCTCTCTCCCTCTGTGTGACTATCATAAAAAAAAAAAAAAAGTTAAAAAAAAAAAAAAAAGAAGGGCAGAGGGAGAGATAATCCTCCAGCAGACTCTTCTCTGAGCCTGGAGCCCGACATGTGACTCAATCCCAGAACCCCGAGATTGTGACTTGAGCTGAAATCAAATCAGCTGCTCAGCCGACTGAGCTGCCCAAGTGCCCCTGTGTTTTTTAACTTTTTATGTAGTTCTGAAGGTTTTGACATTTGGATAGTTTGGAATTTAGTCTCAAAGTGTCATCAGTTTGCATGTCTTATCCCTGTGACAAAGATTGTGTTGGTCAAAAGGAATTATTGGCTATTTTTCTTTAAACACAAGAGCCATCCACGGAAGCTAGTAGCTGAAGCTCCGACTGATGGTTTTCATTAGCGCTTTGCATTTGACTTTTACTCTGAGTCATTTTTGCCATTAGCATTAATCACTTTTCTGAACCTTGTACAATCCAGTCAGTGACAGTTTATCCAAGATTAACTATGTATAGTAGTAGATACTCTTTGTATACCAAGATGAAAACTATTTTCAGAGATACCCTTTCAGTGATCTTTTCTTGTTCTTGTGGAACCACTGAAAATAGTACTGAATAGTCATAAAGAAAAATAAGTCTTTTAAAAAACTTGATATCATATACTTATAAAGTATTATTATTTCTAAAGGGTATGTAACTTTTAGATCATGAACAGAAAGTTAGCTAGCTAATCATTGGTAACCAGATTTGTTATTGTGAATTTGTCAGAAACTGGATACAGATACCCTACTAGAATCAAGCACAAAATTCTAGAATAGGGAATATAAAAATAGCCAAAGCTGTTTAATAACTTTTGTCAAGCCTTCACAGGGACTGTTTTCTTTGCCTAACAGGAGTTGAGTAGGATTAGGAATTGAATTAACACTTCTCAATACTATTTCACTTAGAAGCATAAATTGGATTCTTGTATAAGTACAGGTTGATTTTTATTTATAGAAAGTATCAGGGCACCTGGGTGGCTCAGTGGTTGAGCATCTGCCTTTGACTCAGGTTATGATCCTGGGGTACTAGGATTGAGTCCTGCGTTAGGCTCCCCGCAGGGAGTCTGCTTCTCCCTCTACCTATGTCTCTGCCTCTTTCTCTGTGTCTCTCATGAATAAATAAATAAAATCTTTTTTTTTTTTTAAAAAAAAGGAGAATCAGTAGTCATAAAATCTGTATTAATGTGATCTATTTAAATTTGTCATATAATATTTAAAATAGGAATTTAAGCATGGCCTTCATTTTGCAATGAAGGAAAAGAAGAGCCACACATGCAAAGCAAAATGATTTTGTTTTTATTATAAATCACATGAAACATTTCTTTAAATAATTAGAGCCTTAACAGCACTGGCCAAGTGATTACAATATTTCTGAATCAATGAATAAGTGATGTATGTGTTATTGATAGAAGTTTTGAAACCATAATATGTCACCTGCATATGGTTTGTGTTTTTTGTTTTTCTAATAGCTAGAAACCAGTGCCTGAAAGAAACCCCAAATAAAATGCCAATAAATTCAGCAGGGACAGAGAAGTTAATGACAGGTGTCATTAGCCCTGAGAGGAGGTAAGTATTCTGTTTTTTGTTCTTTGATTCTCAGTATATGTAACCAGATTTCCTTTTTTCATGTATGATAAACCTGATTAAAGTAACAAACCATTGTATAAATGTAGGAATGTTTAGCAGAATGACGACGGTCTGTGGCCACTCCTGGAGCTGTTGCTGCTGCCTTCCTTGTGGGATAGAATTCTGAAACTCATCAGGAGTAGGACTGGCAGGCACCTTGACATACAGCAGGCTTGGAAACAATGGCCCTGGGCCCAGACACATAATACCATTTTTGAGGCTCATCTTTTCCCATGCTTCTGCCAGTAGAATATAGGCATCCACTCACAGATAGCAGTTGCCCAAATAGTAAAGATACCAATGAAAGTTTCAAAGAAAACTCATTCCTTTTATATGGACAGTTCTATAGCATTGGTGACCCTTCCTTGTCTTTTACAGCTATTTTTAAAAGCAGGATCCATTTTGAGGACAATTGAGGAAATTAGATTGTGAACTAGATATTAAGCAGTACTATGGCATCATTATTAAATTTCTTGATGTTGTGTTGGTATTTTGGTTATGTAGAAAATGTCCTTATTCATTGGTTATGTGTCCTTATTCATTGGTTTCAGGGTGAAGTTTCATATGTCTTCAGGCAGGTATTTTCAGATAGTTCAGGGAAGATGTATATATATTTAATATATTTACTTGTCTATATAAGTAGAGAAAGCAAATGTGATAAAAGATTAACAGCTGTTGAATCTAAGAGGATATGTGGGTGTTTTGTGTGCTATTCACTCAACTTTTCTGTATATTGACTTTTAATAAAAGGCTAGGGGCAAAATAGTTTTGCCAAGTGACAGGTGGCCCAGAGGCAGAGTGATGGCTTCATTCCAGTGGGAGATGGCTTTAGTGCTCCCTAAGGATTGAGGTGGTCTGGCCTTGGTATACTCGAGTGTCCTGTGAAAGTTCCAACTGGCAGGAGGTCCTTCTTTACTCATGGGTTTAAAAAAAAATTTTTTTTTTTTTTAAGATGTCGCTCAGTGGAACTAGATCTCAACCAAGCACATGTAGAGGACACTCCAAAAAGAAAAGGAACCAAAGTGTTTGGGAGCCTTGAAAGGGGGTTGGATAAGGTTATCACTGTGCTTACCAGGAGCAAAAAGAAGGGCTCTGCCAAAGACGGGCCAAGAAGACTAAAGGTAAGTGAACTTGAATTCTGCAATCTGGATTTCTGAAGCTGACTGCTAACTGGACTTTTTTTTTTTTTTTTCTAAAGGAAGTACTGAATTGAATGAATTGATAATTTTTTATTTCATGCGTTTTACTGCAGTGGGCTTTGAGGATGCAGAGGTAAATTATATATACTTGTTCCTTTCAAGGAGCAAATGACTATAATGCAAATACTTAGGTAGAGCGATTAATCACAAAGGCAACATGGAGTTGGGGAAACATGGGGCAGATATTAGCTTAATTCTTATATCTCTGGCCTATAGAAGAGTCCCTGACATGTGGGTACCTTTGTAGGCCCTCACAAATATTTGAATGCATGGGAAGTGAATTTGAACTTTGAGTGTGATGTATGTGAAGAAAATAGTGAGCAGTAGACTAGGAAGGTAGGCTGGCAGGTCTTCACAGGCCTAACAGGTTTGGACCTCGTTTGATAGTCCTATTATGCTTTAAAAGCCTTAATATGTCAGTGGTGTGGACAGTATTTTCAAGGAAAGGAAAAAGAGGTTTTAAAGGAAAGGAAAAAGAGGTTATTAGTGGGTCTCAAATCCTTCTTACTCTCTGAAATTCTCTCTGCATTTCTTCAAACATCTAATGAATGACATTTTTGTTTGGGGGAAGTAAGAGATAAAGGTATGAATAAGATACAGCCTGTGTCACCAAGGATCTGGTGGAGTGGCCATGAAGACGGCAGGGTTGTTGCTCTGTGCTGTATAAAAACATGTTCCAAGAGGTGTGGGGCACGGAGGAAGGCAGAGCAGATGGCACTGTTCCCTGTGGTTTGGGGAATGCGTCTGGTTAGTTTTTGCACTGAGACTCTCCTATGGAGCAAACCTGGGCAGGTTTGGGGAAGGAAAATGGTGAACTGTTGGGCAGGAGTGTGGTTCGGGGGGGATGTTCATTTATGTCCTGTTTTAAAGTAGAAGAAGGACATCCCAGGTGGCTCAGCGGTTTAGCGCCGCCTTTGGCCCAGGGCGTGATCCTGGAGACCCGGAATCGAGTCCCATATTGGGCTCCCTGAATGGAGGCTGCTTCTCCCTCTGCCTGTGTCTCTGCCTCTCTCTCTCTCTCTGTGTCTGTCATGAATAAATAAATAAAATCTTTAGAAAAAAAAGAAGATAGGACTTATTTGTACATTAATATTTGTTGCTTGTTGAACTTGAATAATGCACTGAGAAGTTTTGCACATGGCTATTTATTAGGTATATTTTGTCTTATTGTTGTAAGATTTCTCTAGATGGAGACAGTTATGAAATATTTCAAACCTGACATTGGGATTAAGAAAACCAAAGTGTCATTTCCCTGAAAAACATTAGATAAAGAAAATTAAGGAAACATGTCCAATCATGTACATTATTGAGAAGCTAAGCAGTTACCAAATACTGATGGATAATATCCTAAAAACGTTCACCTGTATAAATTGTTTGGAACCTGAATGCATTTTCCAGTAGGAACTGCTGTGTTAGTTGGCTTTCCAGGTATTCCCTAATACTTCCAGGATGTAGGTTGGGAATGAGAAGATGGTTCTAGCCTCAGCTTCATCCTATGTAGCTTGGATAAGTCATTTTATTTGTGATGGCCTCAATTTCCTTGTTTGTGAAAACTGGAGATAATTTCTACCCCAACAACTTCACAGGCCTGGGATATGAAGAAAGCTGTCTCTGTGAGATGCACGTGAAACACTCTATTATATATTATAGAAGGTGTTCTAGTGTTGAGTAGTATTGTTTCTATCCCTGTGTTGAGCATTTTAACCCTAATGGAGCAGAACCGCAGTCCTAATTAGCATACACCTAATACTGGAAACTTGACCTAACTTTGGATCTTTAACCCTTTATAAAGCTTTAAGTTTTTGAGAACTGCATGGCTTGCTTTAGGGAATTAGTTTCATTTTTTTCTCCCTACTTCTTATATTAAAAAATTTTAAACTCACAGAAAACATAAAAGGATGGTACAAAGAATACCTTGTTTGTTAAGTTAGCAAACCATATGTAGCTAAGCCCTCTTGTAGGAAGCACTCTGTAAAAATCTGAAATTTAAATAGATAAACTAGGATTAATTATTTTACAAAAAGAATTACTAAAATTGTGATTTGGAAGTGTTCTTATTATTATCTTGACAAAGCCAATTTAGTTTGGTGAAACAGCCCTAGATGGGGACCCAGGAGACAGACAGCCCTGTCATTGCTTTTTTAACATGAAGCTGTGTCCCTAAACTGCAGTCATTTAACTCACCTTCACGTTGGCATATCATCTGTACTGGCATTTTCTTTATAGTGACTCTCTAAAAAAAAAAAAATTTATAGAGGTATAATTGACATAACTATACATATTAGACTATACATATTAGAAATGGATGATTAATATACTTTGGCATTATATAGACACCTGTGAAGCTATCACCACAATCAAGGTGACTAAGTTTTTAAAAACTTGGGTTTATTTTTAAAAAAATTTTAAAAGTTTTATTTATTTATTTTAGAGAGGTTGATAAAAACATGTATATACAAGTGGGGGGAGAGGGGGAGAGAAGAGAGAAAGGGAAAAAGAGAGGAAGAGAGAGGGAGAGAATTTTCAAGCAGACTCTTCTGAGTGTGGAGCCTGACACTGGGTGTGGTCTCACAATTCTGAGATCATGACCTGAGCCAAAATCAAGAGTTGGATGCTTGACTGACTGAGCCAACCAGGAGCCCCTTGAATTATTTTTAAAGAAACTATAATTTATTAGTTTTTGCTAGTTGTATTTTTCTTTTTCTTTTTTTTTTTTTAAGATTTTATTTATTTATTCATGAGAGACACAAAGAAGCAGAGACACAGGTAGAGGGAGAAACAGGCTCCATGCAGGGAGCCTGACGTGGGACTCGATCCCAGGGTCTCCAGGATCAGGCCCTGGGCTGAGGGTGGTGCTAAACCACTGAGCCACCCGGGCTGCCCTAGTTATATTTTTTTAAATGAGATTGGAACAAATATGCAAATACTAAAATAAAAATGTAGTTGACCCTTGAACAACATGGTTTTGAACCGTGTGGGTCACTTTGAGTGTGGTGTACTTTTTCAACAAATAGGTAAAAACAAAAACAAAAACAAAAAACCAAATAGGTTAGGAAAATTTGGGGGGATTTACGACACTTTGGAAAAACTCAAAAACTGCATAGCCTAGAAATATTTAAAAAAATTAAGAAAAAGGTATGTCATGAATGCATAAGATATATGTAGATATTAGTCTATTTTATCATTTACTACCATAAGATATAAACAAATATATTATAAAAAGTTAAAATTTATCAAAACCTATGCACACAAATATACTGTACATGGAGCCATTCACAGTTGAAAGAAATGTGAAGAAGCTTAAAGATGCAGTATTAGGGGATCCCTGGGTGGCGCAGTGGTTTAGCGCCTGCCTTTGGCCCAGGGTGCGATCCTGGAGACCCGGGATCGAATCCCATATCAGGCTCCCGGTGCATGGAGCCTGCTTCTCCCTCTGCCTGTGTCTCTGCCTCTCTCTCTCTCTTTCTTTCTCTCTCTCTCTCTCTCTCTCTCTCTCTCTCTCACTATCATAAATAAATAAAAATTAAAAAAAAGATGCAGTATTAACTGCATAAAATCAACTGTAATACATGCTGTACTACTGTAATAATTTCGTAGCTACCTTATGTTGCTCTTGTGGTGAGTTTGTGTTGCAAATATTTGCTTAAAAACACTGTGGGGGTGCCTGGGTGGCTCAGTGGGTTAAGTGTCCAGCTCTTGATTTCAACTCAGGTCATGATCTCGGGTCCTGAGATTGAGTCTCACATCAAGCTCCCTGTTCAGCAGGGAGTCTGCTTGTCACTCTCCCTCTGGTCCTCCCCTTGCTGGTGCTCTCTCTCAGATAAATAAATAAAATCTTAAAAATAAATTAAAAAAATAAAGTTAAATAATATCCTACTAAAACTGCTGTGTGGTGCTAATCACTTCCATGTGTGTGTTCATCTCTTCAGTAAATTGTTATCACAGTAAAAAATGATCTCTTGTGGTTCTTGCGTATTTTCCATCATGTTTAGTGCAATGACATAAACCTTGAATAACACTAGGGGACCCATATGAAGTGCTCCTAGTGGTGCTGGAAGTGCTCCGAGGAAGCACAGAAAAGTCATGACATTACAAGAAAAATTTGCATTGCTTGATATATATCATAGATTGAGGTCTGCAGCTTCAGTCACCCACCATTTCAAGATAAATGAATCCAGTATAAGGACCATTGTTTTTTTAAAAAAAGGGAACTTCATGAAGCCCTTGCTGCGGCTGTACCAACAGGCACAAAAACCTTTACTTTTTGCAAAAATACTTAAAAAAAAAAATCTCATTGAAAATGCAGCTTTTATGTAAATACAGGATTAAAAGACAGAAAGGAAAAAAAAATAAAAATAAAAAAATAAAATAAAAGACAGAAAGGCATATCTATAAACTTTAATATGATTTGAGAAAAGATGAGGTCATATTATGACAACTTAAAGCAAAAGGAAGGTGAGGTATCTAAAGCTGGAGAATTTAATGCCAGTAAAGGATGGTTTGATAATTTTAGAAAGAGGTTTGGCTTAAAAAATGTCAAGATGACATGAGAAGCAACTTCTATAGGGACCAAGAGGCAGTAGATACCAGTTCCCAGATGCCATTAAGAAAATCATTGAGGAAGGAGGATATCTTCCTGAACAGATTTTTAATGCAGACAAAAATACTCTATTCTGGGGGGAAAATGCCACAAAAGACCTAAATTAGTAAGAAAGAAAAATGAGCACCAGCATTAAGGTAGGGAGGGATAGGCTAGCTCTGTTGTTTTATGCAGCGTTGTCGGGTTTATGATCAACACTGCCCTTGTTTATATAGCTGCTAACTTCCGAGTCTTGAAGTGAAAAGGTGACCACTAGCTGCTTATCTTTTGGTTGTACAAGAAGGTCTGGACAATGAGAACCCTTTTTCTTTTCCTGTTTTTAAAAAAGATTTTATTTATTTATTTGAGAGAGAGCTAGTGAGCACAATCTGGGGAAGGGACGGAGAGGGAGAAGCAGACTCCTCGCTGAGCCAGGAGCCTGATGTAGGGCCTAATCCTAGGACCCTGGGATCATGACCTGAGCAAAGGTAGACACTTAACCAGCTGAGCCACCTAGGCACTCCAAACCCTTTCTCTGAATTGATTCCATCAGTGCTTTGTTCCTAGGTCAAGAAGTACCTTGCCAGTAAGGTCCTGCCTTTTAAAGTTCTTTTAATATTGGACAATGCTGCTGGGCCTCCCAGAACCCCATGAGTTCACACTGAAGGTATCAAAGTGGTCTGCTTGTCCCCAAACACAATGTCTTCAATTCAGCATCAAGAAAAGGGGGTCATAAGGACTTTTAAGGCTCATTACACCCAGTACTCTCTGGAAAGGATTGTCAGTGTTATGGAAGAGAACGTCATGAAAGTCTAGAAGGATTACATCATTGAAGATGCCATTGTTGTAACAGAAAAAGTCATGAAAGCTATCAACCCTGAAACAATAAATTTCTGCTGGAGAAAACTGTCCCTATGTTGTGCATGATTTCACAGGATTTATGACAGAGCCGAGCAAGGAAATCATGAAAGGGTTTGTGGTTATGGCAAAAAAAGGTGTGTATGGGGAAGGTTTCAAGATATGGATTTGGAGAAATTCAAGAGCTGATGGACACCACACCAGAAGAATTAACAGAAGATGCGTCAGTAGAGATAAGTGCTTCTGAACCAGTGACAGATAATGAGGAAGAAGATGTAGAAGAATCACTGCCAGAAAGCAAATTGACATTAGGCAATCTGGCAGAAGGGTTTCGATGATTCGAGACTACTTCTGATTTCTTTTATGACATGGACCTCTTTATGATATGAGCACTGAAACGAAAGCAAACCGTTAAAGGAGGATTGGTACCATAAAGGGACCATTTTTAGAGAAATGGAAAAGCATAAAGTCAGATAGAAATTACGATATATTTCCATAAAGTTCCACCAAATGTGCCTGTCCCTCCCACCTGCTCTTCTACCTCTTCCACCCCTGAGACAGCAAGACCAACCTCTACTCTTCCTTCTCCTTCTCAGCCCACTCAACATGAAGATGGGGATGAAGGCCTTTGTGATGATCCACTTTCACTTAATGAGCAGTAAATAATCATGCCATACAGTTAATAAATTTATCTATTGTATGTGTGTGTGTCTTTGTGAACATCTAATAGCTGTACGACAATCATATGAGACATTTTTGTGTCATCATCATTACCTAAGTATTCATCGTGTAGAACATTGTGCGCCAGACTCATAGATGTGGATAGCCTATCTTTACTTAGACATAAGGTGAGTGATTTAATATAAAATTAATAATGTGTTAGTTTTCTTACTGTTGTATAACTTTACTTTCAAAGAATTACGTTACTGTGGAATATGCTTCTCTTGTGATTATCAGCCTATCATCACCAGCAGATGGTTTTGAAAAAAATAAAACCGTGTTTCTAATACCATATTATGAATATGACTGTGTTACTATATCCCATAAAAATTATGTAACCATTTATTCATTAGTGTATAGGCTAAGCTAGTGTGAAGCAATCGTATTGATTACACTAGGCTACCATGAAGCAATAATATTGCTGCTTTTTTGTTATCAATGTATGAATCATTATGAATCTAAATAAGTACGACTTTCTTTTTCATATCTTTTTCATTTTTGATATCTAGTGTTAGTAATACATATAATATCTATAGTGTTTTATGTCATAAGACAATATTGATGTCAGTACTAATAGATAATAGAGGATTCATCTTGTAAACAATATAAATTTATGGTATTGATAAACATAGTACAGTACTGTAAATGTGTTTTCATTCTCTATTTTTTTAAAGATTTTATTTATTTATTCATGAGAGGCACAGGGAGAGAGGCAGAGTCGTAAGCAGAGGGAGAAGAGGCTCCCTGCAGGGAGCCCAATGCAGGACTCGATCCCAGGACCCCAGGATCACAACCTGAACCAAAGGCAGACATTCAACCACTGAGCCACCCAGATACCCTCTTCCTTATTCTCTAAAAATAACATTTTTTTTCTTTAGCTTGCTTCATCATAGAGGTATAGTATATAATACATATAGAGGCGCCTGGGCAGCTCAGTTAAGCATCCAACTCTTGATTTCGGCTCAGATCATGATCTCAGGGGCTGTGAGGTGGAGGCCTGCTCAGTATGGAGCCTGCTTGGGATTATCTCTCTCCCTTTGCCCCTTCTGCCCCCAGCCCCTGCTCACATGCTCTGTCTCTCTCTAAAAATAAAAGTAAAATAACAAAAAAATACATTAACATACAGAATATGTGTTAATTGATTATAACGTTTTCAGTCAGCAGTAGGCTATTAAGTTTGGGGGGAGTCCAAAGTTATATGTGGATTTTTGTCTTTATAGGTCAGTGCCTCTAACCCCTGCATTGTTTACAGGTCAACTATATATACAAACCACATTTTCTAGGATATTTGTTTCATTTCCTATAGTTTACATTTTAGGACTATTAATATCTGTAGCATAGAATGGGAAGGGAGAAACCAGCTCAAACAGATGGCTGTTAATTAATATTTATGTATTTCTTTAAAAAGATTGGTAGGAGAGGAGGATGAAATGTTAAAAAGGATGATATGAATGTAGTCACTAGTGGACACGATTTCTTCAAGCTTTCCAGTGCCATCTTACTTCAGCTTATTAAGAGTTGGTTGTAAATTTTTTCTGGAAATGTTTCCCTTTGAACCGGTACTGTAATGAATTTGAGATCTTTAAATTAGGATGGTCTTTGTGTTAATGTAAAGATTTACTTCTTACCCCTTCTTTTTCTTTTTTTAAGCTTCACTATAATGTGACTACAACCAGATTAGTGAATCCAGATCAACTCTTGAATGAAATAATGTCTATTCTTCCAAAGAAGCACGTTGACTTTGTACAAAAGGGGTAAGAAGCACACTTAGAGGCTGTTGCATTTATTGATTGATGTCTTTTGAACTTCGAGATGACATGTACTGATTCTTCTCTTTTTAAAAAATATTTCTCCCACCTCATTTTCATCAAAAAAGCTTTTATGGTGGTGTCATTGTTCATAATTTTGTTTCTTTGGTGTTATAAGAGCTAGTGCCATATTGGCACCACTTTCAAAGTTAGACTTTTCAAAATAGAAAAATCTGAACTTCTTCAAGTTTTCTTTTTCAGTACTCTATTTTCCTTTGATGTTCTGCTTTTCAATATTTTTTCTTTTAAAGATTTTATTTATTCATGTGAGACACAGAGAGAGACAGAGAGAGAGAGTGAGGCAGGGACACAGGCAGAGGGAGAAGCAGGCTCCATGCAGGGAGCCCGACGTGGGACTCGATCGCGGGTCTCCAGGATCACGCCCTGGGCTGAAGGCGGCGCTAAACCGCTGAGCTACCCGGGCTGCCCATCAATAATGTTTATAAATTGTAATCTAGATTTGTGAGATACCTCAAACCAATTAGGGATTTATGTAGAACCCTTTCCTTTATGACTTGTTGTTAGACTGGGTTTTCAGCACTTTAGTAGGAAATTATTTCACCTGAACTCTTTCCCACTGTTGAGTGAGCTGCCAGCAAAACCTCCATGGCTATGATCATATGGTCTGAATGGTCAAAGCACTTATACCTAAGAGGTTCTTATTGATAAGTATTTCCAGTCATGTCTCTTTAAAATTTCACTATTGAGGCAGATAAAAAGAGCCACTAATGGATTTAACAAAATATTTAACTAGAATATTCAATGTAGAGTAAGAGTTTAACAAATAATCTTTTGGAAAAGTAATTTTATTTTTCATCTGTAAATGTTGGCAAGCATTCCTTACCTGAACCCTGGCTTTCTTCTTTAGGCGTCATCAGAACACATAATAACTCACTCTGGCCTGTTCTTCATGGTTGGGTTTGAGTGATGGTTCCAGAATCTCTAGCCAAATCTGTATCAGAAAGCTTTCAATAATCTTTCCTTCAGCATATGATCTCTCTTTCAGATCACCAACTAGCTGTTAACCAATAACTTACTCTTCTAACTTCCTGATCAACTGCAAAGTCTCTGCCTTGACCCTTTTTTTTCTTTTTTACTTCTCTGTTTGTTTTTAACTTCTTTGTGACAAGGCAGAACAAAAGCTAAGTTTTTTGGTGGTGTGATGTTACTAATCTTGGGTATATTCCATTATTATCTTTTTCCAAGGCAGAAGAATTGGTTTTTCTCTTCCATATGACTGAATTCCTCTATGCTTCATATTCCCATCGGGAACCTTAACTATAGGGTACTCCTTTTGGCATTTATCCAAATGACTGCCCATTTTTAAGAAATCAAGACCCCAAACACAGAACTAAATTAGCAAGCCAAAGGATGATATTTTGTGAATCCTCATAACACACAACAGATACAAGTAATTTCTTCACATTTCTGTGGAGAATTATCTGCCCCTAAATATTTAGGGAACTAATATTTAAAATCAATATTATTATTAGAGATTAGTAAGACAAATTAAAATATCAGACAAACTAATTAAAAAATTGATTTAAATGAATTCAATTTATCTAACTTTGCAGGAGTGTACCTGTTTCTTAAGATATGTTTAAGGCTTCATTTGGAGGGGGCCTTTCCATCATCAGAGTTGTTGTGTTGCAGTTCTAATTACATATACCATGTGTTTCAGTCTTGGGAATATACCATCTCTATGGACCTTCTGTTAAAACTCTGCCATAATAAAGTGTAATGATCATAACCTCTTACTACTATTAGAAAAATCTCTAAAACCTACACCCTTCTGACAAGGTGGTGGCTTCAGTCTTATTTATATGAAAGAATTTCCTGATAAGGTGCACATAAAAAAATATTCTTAATCTTCCCCACACTTTCCTTTGTTGTGAACGTTGTGGAAATGGCCTAATGTTTATGAATTACACTGTTGAAAGAGATGCATAAAGAAGGCCAGAAGATTTCTTGAGCATGAATGGCATGGGTAGCTGTAAAAGAAGGGCTTTTCTTTGGACAAGAGAAAAATTCTGATAAAGCCTTCCATTTTTATTCTTTCGTAAGATCCTAGTTCAGCTTCTGGGGAAAGACCAGTCATGCTCCATGACTAGGGTATAGCTAAGTCATTTGGAAACTGTAAGTAGTAATAGATCGCTTAATATGAAATAAGGGTTCATTTTCTCCACTGGCCTCCTAGAGGCTTAGAAATCTCTTATGCAGAATATTCATGGTTCTCCTATTAACTGGTTTCTTGTCTTGTTTTTCGTAGCTATACACTGAAGTGTCAAACACAGTCAGATTTTGGTAAAGTGACAATGCAATTTGAACTAGAAGTGTGCCAGCTTCAAAAACCCGATGTGGTGGGTATCAGGCGGCAGCGGCTTAAGGGTGATGCCTGGGTTTACAAGAGATTAGTGGAAGACATCCTGTCTAGCTGCAAGGTGTAATTGTTGGATGGTTTCCTCCCCCTCCTGGATGAATATGAGTGTGATCGGTTTGATTTTTAAAGTCCATTGGAACTACAGACTTGTTTCTAAAGAGCCGTCTTAAAGACCAATATCTTTCTGTTTTTAGACAAAGGTATTTTGCAAATTAATCTAAGGCGTGCCCATCTGTCATTATCTATTACTGTCTTTTTTAATCATGTGGTTTTGTATATTAATAACTGTTGACTTTCCTAGATTCACTTCCATATGTGAAAGTAAGCTCTTAACAATGTCTCCTTTTAATGTGTTATTTCTTTCTGAAATAAAATCATTTGTGGATATGGCAGGCTTCTCCTCTTCTTTGTATTTGATTTTGATCCAAATAAAACCTCAAATGGGCTTCCTGACTATTAAGTAGAGACTATTTGGAGATATTTTATCTGTTATCAAATATGCCTTGGGCAGAAAAACAGATAAGAATTCATTTGCATAATTTTTTCCTGTCTCTGATTTAAGTAGGATTTATTGAGATCGTTAACTAAGTCACAGCTGTGGTTACCAGAGTTAAACAACACATTTAATATGTTGAATAAAAGAGTATTGACTTCAGTAAGTATGTTCGGTCAACAATGATAAGTATCTGAACTATGAACCCCCATGAAATGTTACTTTATGGTAATTTTCCTTAAATCTCAATGTTGGTCCCAAATTTGTATTTTTATTTCATTTTATTGGTCTCTAAAGGCTAGCACTCAAGTTTTATTTGTATGGATTTTACCAATTAAAACAGTTGGAGAAAAATAGCGCTACTTGTAGTCAGCAGTGAGGGAGTGTTTTGTCACTCATTTATTCAGTAAACATTTACTAAGTGCTTACAGACATTAGGTTCTGAGGC